AAGTAATTCGACCATGTTCCTTGAGGGACACTGTGTGGGGTGCTAAATGAGTATGAGATTGGGGCCATTCAGCCCAATGCAAGTAGTGAGAGAGTTTGGTTTGCATTGCCAGTAAGTCAGGCCCCTTTAGGTTAGGAGTGGCACTCTGTCAGGACTGACCACATTCACTGATTCTGTTTATAATTTTTATAGACAGAATTTCTTGATGCAGCCAGGGGGCGGAGGTAGTCCAGTTTGGTGGCCTCAGGATTCAGTCTCTGCTTTATGCAGATGACCTGGTCCTGTTGGTCATGATTTCCAGGTCTCAATAGAGCAGTTTGCATCTGCGTGTGAAGTAGCTGAGATGAGGATCAGCACCTCTAAATCTGAGGCCATGATCCTCAGTTGGAAAAGGTTGGATGGTCCTTTCCAGGTTGGGGATGAGGTGCTGCCTCAAGTGGAGGAGTTCAAGTATCTTGGGGTTTTGTTCACGAGTGAGGGATGAATGGAACATGAGATTGACAGATGGATTGGTGCAGCATCTGCAAAATTGCTAACTCTGTGTTAGTCCATTGTGGTGAAGAGGGAGCTGAGCAGTAAGGCGAAGCTCTTTATTTACCAGTCGGTTTACGTTCCTACCTTCACCTATGGTCACGAGCGCTGGGTAGTGACCGAAAGAATGAGATTGTGGATACAGGCGGTTGAAATGAGTTTCCTCTGCAGGGTGGCTGGACCCTCTCTGAAAGGAAAGGGTCTTTATGAAAAACTCAAACATTCTCCACATAAAAGGAGTAATTATGGGGAACAATTTCCATAAGAAGGTCATCACTCTTTACTTTGTCTCCCACTACATGGAAAATTCTGGAAACAAGGAGAGCATTCGCCACAACAGAGATACATAATGATGGGTGAAATCTTAATTTTGCTCTAAGCAAAAATCACTGCATAGATGCTAAAAAAACAAAAAGTCAAGCCAAGGTTAACAATAAAGGAGAATGAGATTCTCACCGACCACATCTGTATTCATTTTAGATCTTTACCTGTTTATGACAACCATGAAAGAGAGCTAAAAATTGTAAAACACAAGCTAAAAGTAGTAAAAGGGTGGCTAAAATCCTAAGTAGTGTTAGGCTAGGTAATAGTAGCAGAACAATAGGCTAAACAGGTAAAAATTAAAAGTAGCATCAGAAGACAAAATCAGCTAGCAAATGAAGCAGAATACAAAAAGAACAGTTTGTTTTTGGGGGATTTTTTAAAAATGATTGTATGTATTTATGTGCAAATGAAGTCAAATATTTTTAAATCTATAAAAGTTACAAAAACTAATTTCACAAAGCCCATCTCCTGAAGGAGCTGAATATTTTGATATGTGAATGGCTAAAACAGAACAAAGTATGCAGAAGTAGATATATTAAAAGGACAAAATAAAAAATGTGTACATAAAACATAAAAAATTGGAGAACAGTGGTGTGAATCATGACTTTACATTAATATAAAAAAGAATAAAGGTCACAAATATTAATTCTTGAGTTTTTTTAATTAATTTATTTGTTGGTGTGTTGTTACTGTCGGTCTCTTCTTTTCCTGGTCATTTAAATAAAAAAAATCAGAACATGTGAATAAAGAGGCTTTGGCTCATGAGCAGCATCCTGTCATGTCAAACATGCATGTAACATGTGCCATCTGTGCACTGAATAGAAGTGGGTGTCACACTTCAGTGACACACTAATGAGCCTCTTGAATTACAAAACAGCACCGATCAACTCATGAGCACTAAAAATAAGTAATGTGATTAACACATAACTAAGGCTGCGTGGAAACCGGCTGTAATCATCCGAGAACAAAAAATGGAGGGAAAGAAGAAGCTTGTTGATTAGGAAAAACAGCCTTGTCTTTTCGGTTTTTCAGATTGTTGCCTTTAAAAGATGCATGATGATGTTTCCTCAGTGTTCATAAAAATAAATATGTATACCTTATGTATTACATGGTAAAAAAAAAAATACCATCAGTGATATTGAACAGGACAGGTACAGCATTGTAATAAAATCACTACACTCAAACTGATTTTACTGAATTTTGTTTCAGTAAAATCAGTTTGATTCGTTATAGTTATAAACAGTTCATAACTATAATGGTTACTGTTTATTTTGTTTGATTCTTTTTGTTTTACTGACTGATTGATATCAAATGCACTGCATGTCACCCATGATTTATGCCAGAGTTTTAGACTAAAATTCACCTAAGATGAAAAACACATAGAAGTTTTGCTTAAACCTTGAAAACAAAATTACGTATGGTGCCATTTGATATCAAGAGATGACATGCTTGAAATATATATGGTAAACGACTCAGCTGCATCAAATTGTAGCACAATATCTGTAAACTTAAAAAAAAACTCAGTTATAATCCAACATTTTTCAGTCAGGTCATCTGGACAGTTTCTTTTTTTTTGTGCTGAAATGTTTTGTCTTTGATCCAGAAGGCTTCATCAGTCAAGGAAACACACAACAAAACTGATTCTTTCACCCAACAGCTTACTCCAAAGTGGAACAAACCAGTTATGTTGGTGCTAAGATGGTCTCTTTGGCACGCCCACTCCTCCATTGCTGGCCCTCTTCCTTGTTGACAGTCGTGTCAAACTGGTTGAAAACAACAAAGTCCATGCTCAATAATCCAGGTATACAATCCAACATTTTTCAGTCAGGTCATCTGGACAGTTTCTTTTTTTTTTTTTGTGCTGAAACATTTCGCCTTTGATCCAGAAGGCTTCATCAGTCAGTCATCAGAACATTCACTCAGTTAGAAACATTTTTGTGCTTGCAGCTGTGGAGACCGTCTTGTACTGGGATGACTCCAAGTTGTCGATGTACATCCAGTGATAGTTTTCTGAACGTTTCATTCACATGCGTCTTCTGGGTCATCAAGATGTCTGACAAACAAAACTGACTCCAAACAGCTTTTGGCTCGTTTTGAAACGTAGATCTTTCCCAGTCTATAGCGCAGTCATAATACAGGTTGGTGGTCAGTCTCAGTTATTACCACGCTGATGATCGATATTTGTAAAACTGACTGCATTAAAGCTCTTACCGTTTGCTAAGGTGGACTAGCTGTGGTAGCCATTTTAATTGGCTTGGCTTCTAAAGTTAACCAGCTGTAGATGTTTTACCTTCTAGGATTAGTTTTGAGACTTATTCAAACAAGTCCACTGGTTCCTGAGATATTTTGCTAAGAGACAGATGCACAAGCACAGATAGGCCATATCATTGTTGGCCACATTTGTCTTTCAACAGCAGGCCATAAATATAAGCTATATGTTAGATGGTTGCTTAGCTGAGAAAAAGTCTATGGTAGAAGTCTTACGGGAACCAGAAAAACAGGAAATTTATCACAGTAGTGCAACAAAAAGGAAGCCCAGTGATGGGTGTAGCCTAAGCAGAGGCCACACTGGCACACACTGCCTTTCTATTTTTTACTAGCTGACACTGGTACCATCAGATATTCTCCTGAGTTCAGCTGGTTGTCTGGTGACTCGATGAAAACACAGGCAACACAAGTGACAGATGTTCCAGGACTTGTATTTCAGGTGTGTGGCTGGTCATCTGTGTTACAGTTATGTCTAACAACAGGTTTCCAACAGTCCACATGTATTAAAGCTAATTAGTACAGACTTTGGTCTGTCAAAAAGCTTGGTGATGTAATGTTTCAGTGGGGGAGGTAATGACCAACAGTGGAGAATAGCTCTGTCTAAATTACCACAGTGCAGGGGACGAAAAAGGCAAGAATACCACAATATGCGGTGTTTTTATGACTCGAGGTTTGGAACATATAGTTTAAAGGCAACACTGCCCCCTGGCGGCGAGTTTCACCACAACCCTGGTAACTTTGCATGCGACGTCAGCTAAAGAAATAAAACAAAAAACAAAACAATAAAGTAAAATAATTAAAAACAATTAATCTATAAACTAAATTGTCAGCTAGAAGTACAACAACAACTTAGTGAGCAAAGCGAGTTGTTGAGGATCCGTTAGTCATGACTGGATTCTCAGACCAGAGGAGTCGATCCAGAGAAACAAGATCGACAGTCTGCTGGACGGTGGAGGCTCTCCGCATCCTCAGGAACCCGACGGTAGGTTCAGGCTGAAAACCAGAAAATATGGCTTTAATTTGAAGTCAGTCATTTGAGCCACATCCGTCATTTTCATAAATCGGATACTTATTGAAAAACTACGCCTGGCCTTTAGACTGGTCATGTAATGTCATGTGAATCCACCAGTTAGCATGCAGATGGGACAGGTGTGTCAATAATTAACATGTAACAAGGAACAGGTGTGTTTTAATAATTAATATGTGTAACACTGTAACAAAGGCAGTGACGTACTTTTGTGCCTGTTTTAGTTTAACGTTGGAGGACAGCTTTCATTTATTTTATAGCCTGTATCTGCTACAAGCGGAAGTTACGGGACTATCTGAATTGTGTGTGTGTGTTAGCAGAATAATGCGTTAGCAAAATATCTTATGTACCAGTGGACGTAATTTAATGAAACTCAAAAAGAATTGATAACTGCAGACCCCATTCAAAATGGCCACCAGAGCTAAGCAACTTAAAAAAACATCCAAATGGCTGTAATTAAAACAGTTTTACAGATATTTGAGCTAAAATATGGTGTGGTGGTAGCTGAGAGTCGTACCTAACATTCTGAGCTAACTGGTCACTTGAGAGGTTCATTTAAAAGTTTGCAATTATCTACTGGAATTACTGTCCATATGTCAGCAAAATATCTTACAAACCACAACATGGATTTCAATGAAACTTTTCCAGCTGATGAATGTTTAGTAGCTGAGAGTTATTAAAAGCATATACTGTGAGCACTAACTCATCATATCTTACGTAATTTAATCTTTTCGGTTTACCCAAACTAAGTGTGTTCGTTCAAGAAGTTGCAGGACTTTAATTTTGTGTGTTTCTGCTCTGTCACTCAGAGAGGAAAGACTCTGGTGTTCATGATTACACTCCAGCTGCCATGTCCTCTATGTCCACATCTGTTTGTGGTGGAGGGGATGCTGCAGCTGCCCAGCCAGCATTCAGGGGATGTGAGCAGGCCCTGCTGTGTTCAGACCGCTACGCCAGTCTCATCCTGGCCCAGATGAACAAGATGCGTCTTCGCTCAAACTTCTGCGACGTGGGGCTTAAAGTCGGCTCGCGTGTTTTCAAGGCCCACAGGCTGGTGCTCGCTGCCAGCAGCCCGTACTTTGCTGCCTTGTTCTCAGGTGGGTTGAGGGAGGCCAGTAAGGATGAGGTACAGCTCATCGGAGTGGACACTGACGTCTTTGAGATTTTGTTGGACTTTATATACACAGGTCTGCATCCTCACATCGTACTTTCATCCTAACTCGTAGTTTTTTGTGCAATTTTCTTAATATGTCTTAACTCCCCTCCCTTCAGGGTCCATCAGCGTAAATGTGGAGAATGTTCAGGAGCTGATTGTGGCAGCAGATATGCTGCAGCTGAGCGAGGTGGTGTCCATATGTGGGGAGTTTCTCAAGGGTCACATGGACCCTTTCAACTGTGTGGGCGTCTTTCAGTTTCTGGAGCAGATCGCTTGCCTGAACATGCTGGAATATGCCGAGAACTACATCCACGTTCACTTCCTGGAGGTACATTTATTCAACAAAAGTCAACTAGCTTGAAGAAAGCTGCAGTAGCAGTCATCTAATTAAATGCACTGATCAAGTGTGAACACCTCAAATATCTTGTTTTTTTTTTTTCTTATAAGCAAAAAATCTATATTGCTTTACATGCTGTAATGTTTCTGATTGTTTGTTTTACTGTTTTGTCTAGGTATGCGTCACTGATGAGTTCAAGAGCCTGTCAAAGGACCAGTTGGTGAAGGTTCTGAGGAGTGAGGAGCTGAGGATTGAGGACGAGTACCAGGTTTTCACTGCAGCCATGGACTGGATCCTTCAAGATGTGACAAAAAGGAAAAAGCACGTTGTTGAGGTGCTGGAAGCAGTCCGCTTCCCCCTGCTGTCCCCACAGAGACTGTTCAAATACATAGAAGGTGAGGAAAAACTGTTTAAAAGGACCTCATTTACTTTTTCTGTCATTTTATATTATTTGGTTTTCAAGTTCAAAACTATAAAGTCGTGTCCATGAGGCAAAACAGATAAAACCAATATGTTTTTCGCTGTAAGGGAAACATTTCAGAACAAAACAACACAGAAAACGCAACAAAACAATATTTGTGTGCTACTTCAAAGAGACAAAACAGAACATTTTTCTGACTATTTTGTTTTTTTCTTCCTACTCATCGCCCAACATCTCTGCTGAAAACTTCATGATTAACTTTTAGCATCAACACACTCGTTAGCAAAATATCTCATGAACAGATTTTTGTGAAGTCTTGGGAAAGAAGTGACTGGATGTAGATCTACAACTTATTGACATAGAGTTAATTCAAGATGACCGCCACAGCATAGCAAACACAAAACATGACTCTTAACAGGCAGTTTTACAGAAATGGAGGTAAAACTTTATGATAGTAGCTGAGAGTCATCTTCAACACATTTTTTAGCACTAACACACCTTGATAGATCTCAGAATATTACATGAGATTTACATCATTTACAGAATTTGACCAAAACAGCTATATTCATTCCTTTTCAAGATAAAATAGTTTTAGTTTAAAAACCTCTGGCATGACAGGAAAGACATGAGTTCTAATAAATTCTTCTTTTTTTTTTTTTGTGAAGTCCTATTTACAGTAATGAAAAGTTTGAAAAAGGATTTAGTTCTTAGTACTTTTCATGTTTGTGTAGTGGTGTCAGGGCCAGCTTTCTGACCCTTTCACTACTAATTATTTAAATATAACGGGTTCTCTCTTTTTCGAGTTAAATTAAGGCCATGTGACGAGGTACTGTGTGGATTGTGTTTAAATCAGTGACGTGAGACGTTAATTTCCTTTGACCCATCAGAATAAATGTGGTCATTTATTTAACAGAATCAAAATTTAACATCAAAACTTGTACACATGATTAGCTGATCTGGTTCTGATTAATAAAACTTGGCACGTTTTACTTAATAAGACAACAAGGCATTTCTGAAGGCATTTAGATTACTGGCAAAATAGAAGAGTTTTAAAGGAAGGATTGAAGGAGTTTAAATGGAAGATGGATGAAGGAAAGATGTATGTTTTGTTTACCAGAATTAGCACACTTCTTTCAACACCAGCTCAAACCCCGGTCCACTTAGTGCGCGACAACTCGTGACGTCTCTTTACCTTTGCAGATGATGGTTCAGCTCCGGTCTAGATGTCCCTATGCACGCTACCTTTCAGCGTCTCCGGTAAGAGCGGCTGGCCATCGTCAGAAATCGTGTGGTTTACTCCGTTAAACAGAACAAGCTTCCTTCGAAGTTGTAGGGCGTTACGCCCGGGTGAGTTCACAGCGGGGCGCTGTGTCTCCACTGGGATGGACGGACCCTCTTCTCACGGTCAAATCCATCAGCTATTGATTAAATCTGAAAGTTCCTTAGGAACTCTCAGTAAGACTCAGTCAGAAAATCCACTCAGAAGTAGAAGACTCCATAGTCCCAAGAAAGACTCGGGGAAACTGGAAGACAGAACTGAAGACTGAAAAGACCTGAAGCCTGAGAGACTCAAGAAGACTTGAAGACTGAAGACTCCAGGAAGTGTGGACTTTTAAAGAGTTCTCACTTCCGGTCACTTCAGGACTTCCTGATTGGTTGAAACAACCAACAGGAGGTGGTTCTAGTGATGTCAGAGGGTTATTACAAGTCAAAAGGAGTGCAAGAATGTTTTAGGAACTTGTAGTACAGACAGGGAAATGTTTTGAAGAAGTGAGAGGAAGCAGGTGCCAGTGTTTCTTATTTACTGTCTGCTAGGTTTAAAAACAATCCACTTCGTTCTAACAACTTCTTTCTGACTCTCTCTGACTTTTGACTGACATCACTACTTCTCATTCAGACACAAGATCAAAATGCATAATTACTTTGTAAATAGACATTTAACTTGATTTCTAATTTAAATGAGGATTAAAAAAATAATCATTAATACTGTTTCACAGTTGATTTAAAATGAGTGGTTCAACATTTAGAAATTGTATGAACTAAACACACTTTTGATTTATCAAGATATTGAAAATAGTAATGATAATATAAAAGAAGAGTGTTCTTTCAATTGATTACTTCAGGATACAATTAGAAAGTCTCTGGATGAGCTAATGTGTATTTCTGGATTCAAATCAATGAAATAACAGTTCCTGTCCCATGAAGGTCCTCAGAGGCAGGTTTTGGTCAGAGGCCGAGTTCACTACATTTGCTTGAGTCTGGAAAATCTCTTTGTCAGACTGCCCTGATGCTCAATAATCCACGTAGATAAATCTTAACAAGGTAGAGTCAGGTCCTCTGGACAGATTATTTGATGAAATGTTTCGTCTTTAATCCAAAAGACTTTTCAGATGTTTTTCACTCCAGTTTTTTACATATAAAGCTGTGACATTAAAAATTAATTGAGACAAGTGACCACCATGGCCGAGTCCAACCCGCCCTGAGAACGAGCTCGACTTTGTGCCAAGAATGCAGTCACAGCTCCTGCTGTGGTTTTACAGGGACTCTGTGGCTCGTCAAAGAAACCCATGCACCCCATAATCCTGCAGCACCTCCCACTGAATTCCTCGAGGAACACAATTGTAAGCCTTCTCCAGATCCACAAAACGCATGTAGACTGGAGAAGCAAACTCCCATGACCCCTTTTGCAACTCTGCAAGGGTGAAGATCTGGTCCACTGGTCCACGACCAGGACGGAAGCTGCACTGCTCCTCCTGAATCTGGGTTCAACAATCGGTTGGAGCTTCCCTTCCAACACCCTGGAGTAAACTTTCCCAGGGAGGGCAAGAAGTGTGATTCCATGATGGAACACACTCTCTGGACCCCCTTTTTAAAAATGGGAACCACCACCAAGTTCTGTCATTCCACAGGCGTTCTCCCAGTCCTCCATGCAACATTGAAGAGATGTATCAACCATGACAGCTCCACAACATCCAGAGCCTTCAGCATCTCAGAACAAATCCCATCCACCCGACACCCTGCGCCTGAGGTGCTTTTTGACTACCTCGTTGACCCTGCCATGGTACTGGACTCATCATCCCAAGTCCTCAGACTCTGCCTCTTCAAAGGTGGACATGGTGGGTGGGTGGGTGGGTGGATTAAGGGAATCCTCAGTGTTCCTTCCACTAATCAACTAGATAGTCAGTCAGTCAGACAGTCAGACAGACAGACAGACACTGTAAAAAGACAATATGCACAAGATGGTAGGGACTACTACAGTCATGATTACAACAAAGTCCATGCTCAATAATCCAGGTATATAATCCAACATTTTTCAGTCAGGTCATCTGGACAGTTTCTTATTTTGGGCTGAAACATTTCACCTTTGATCCAGAAGGCTTCATCAGTCAAGAAAACACACAACAATACTGATTCTTCCCCCAACAGCTTACTCCAAACCAGTTTTGTTGGTGCTAAGATGGTCTCTTTGGCACGCCTCCTCCTCCATTGCCAGCCCTCAGTCCTTCTGGCCACCTGTCAGCTGTTTCAGTAGTTCTCCAGAACAACCAAGTCCTGAAGGCCTCCTCCTTCATCTTGACAGCTTCCATTAATGCTGGTGTCCACCAGCAGGTCCTTTGGTTGCCACAACACAGGCACCAGTGACCTTCAGGCCACAGCTCCTGGAAGCGGCATCTGAACACGTCGCATTCAGATTCCATGTCCCCAACCTCCCCCTGGGACATGTGGAAAACTCTCCTGCAGGTGTGAGTTGAAAGCCGCACGGACCAAGGGCTCCACCAGACTTTCCCAATTCACCCTCATTATCAAAAATAAATAAATAAATAAATTTATATGTCTCTTTTGATTGTCTATTGTTGTCGTTGTTATTCACTTGTCATCATTCTGTGTTAAGAAATCAGGTCTCTCTTATAAATGAGTCCCAGAGGCTCAATGGGATTCCATCCATCCATTATCTTTACCCGCTTATTCCATTTTGGGTCACGGGGGTCGCTGGTGCCCATGTCCAGCCATCACTGTGCGAGGGGCGGGGTACACCCTGGACAGGTCGCAAGTCCATCACAGGGACACATACGAGTCAATGACAAAATTGATCATCGACCTTTGGCCCAAAGTGGGCTGGCACCAAGTGCACTTATGAACCTCCCTATGCTCAAACATGGTGTTTATGGACAACCCATGCCTAGCACAGAAGTCCAATAAGTGAACACCATTCAGGTTCAGATCAGGGAGCCTGTTCCTCCCAATCACCCTTTTCCAGATGACTGTCATTTTACACATGGGCACTGAGGTAACCCAGTAAAACGAGGGAATCCCCAGATGGATCCCCTTCCAGGACACCAGCCAGAGACTCCAGAAAGCCTCGATAATCTGAAATGATGTTTTGTGCATAAGAACAACAGTCAGAACCTTCTCTCCTGCAGCCTGAAGCCACAGAGAGGCAACCCTCTCGTTCATCAGGGAAAACTCCACACTGAGGCATCCAGCCGGGGGCTTGTGAATATCTCCACACCCGCCTGATGCCTCTCTCCCTGGGCCACTCCAGAGTAGGAGAGAGTGTAGCCTCTTTCCAGGAGTTGGGTTCCAGAGCTCAAGCTGTGCGTAGAGGTGAGCCCAACTATAACTAGTTGGTACTGCTGAACCTCACACACAAGCTCCTTACCCACCAGTGAGGTGACGTCTACGTCTCTAGAGCTCATCTGTGCCACCAGGAATCAGCATGGCCAGGGACCCTCCCTCGCCTGCTACCTCACATGCACGACACCTGACCTTGACGGACCTCCCTGCAGGTGGTGTGTCCACATGGAAGGGACTTCCTGTTATTTTTTCGGGCCTGGCCAAACCCCAGGAGCCAAGGCGTGACCAGCAGGAGAGCTCCCCCCACCTCAGACCTGGCTCCATGGATGTGCCTCAGTTTCCCTTTTTTCAGGAGAGGTTTCCTGATGCGTTTGTTGTTTTTTCATCAAGGTTTTGATTTTCAACCACTACCACACTAAAATAACAGACTGATAAAGCGCACAGACATCTACAGTATCACCCTCCACCAGGAAAGGCAGGCACTAATTATCCAAGTGTAAAAATATGCTTTCTAGGTGCAGACCAGTGATCCTCTATTACGTCCAGTAAAGTCTCTGGTCTAAAGCAGGTGCTGCTTTTATATTTAATTAAAATAACAGTTTTATAAAACATCACATTGAACGGGACCATAAATTTAAACTACAAAAAAACAAAAATGTTCCCAAATGTATACTTTTATTGCTAAATCATGATATAATAAATCTCATCATGCAAACATTTTTACAATTTACACAAAATGTTGATTATCAATAAATATGATTTATAAATTTACACTTAATGTTTATATTTGGATGTTAAAAATGATACAAAAACAAAAATCTGAAGATTTAAATTTGTAAAAGTCTGTATACTTAAGGTGGTAAGTCTACATAAACTGATTTACAAAAGTTTCTGTATTATGAATTGCTCTATTTGCTCTATTGATTATTGATTTGTTTGCATTTTTTAAAAGGTATTTTGTATTTATTGGTTAAAGTGCATGAAATGTTATTTTAATAATTTGTTTTTCTGTAATGTTTTAAGCTTTAGCACAATTGTTGCTTATAACATTTTTAACTAAACCTTTGCAAAACCAACTTTTACTTTGTCTGCTCAGGTATTACTGACTTCAGCCTGCGGGTGGCGCTGCAGACTCTGCTGAAGGAGTACACTGAGGTCACAAAATCATCCAAAGAAAACAAGACGAACGCTCAGCTCCAACCCGCCAAGATGAGACCCAGAAGAAAAGCCAGAAAGTTCCTCTATGCTATAGGTTCTGTATATTTTACTGAATTTAAATGTGAGAAATAATTAAAATTAACACAGAGTTGCTGCAGGAGCGTCCGTCCAAATCTAGGAAGTGACTGGTCTTGTTTCTTTGCGTCAGGGGGCTACACCCGGCTGCAGGGCGGCCGATGGAGCGACAGCAGGGCGTTAAGCTGCGTGGAGCGCTTTGACACCTTCAACCAGTACTGGACCACCGTGTCGTCTCTTCACCAGGCCCGCAGCGGGCCAGGAGTCGCAGTTCTGGAGGGAATGATCTACGTGGTGGGAGGTGAAAGATGCACTGAATGTGCTCTGCTTTCAGTTCCAACATCAACTTCTAAATGAGCTTTCTGTTTCTACAGGAGAAAAGGACTCGATGATCTTTGACTGCACAGAGAGGTACGACCCCGTCACAAAGCAGTGGGCTTCTGTGGCGTCTCTGAATTTTCCTCGCTGTGGGGTTGGAGTGTGTCCCTGCCACGGCGCTCTATACGCAATGGGTAACATCCACAGCTGTACTGCTTTTGAGTAACGTATAGAGGAGTAAACTGGAGGGAGAGGTGTACATTTTATATCCGTTCCTCCCTTTTTACCTCCTTCCTGGGTCACAGGAGGCTGGTGCTTATCTCCAGCAGTCACTGTGAGAGGCAGGGTCCTCTCTTTATAGGTCTCAGTCCATCACAGGAAGACAGAGTGACAAACAACCATTCACACTAACCCACACTCAGACAGTTTGAAGTTACCAGTTATGCATGATGTTGGTCTGGGGGAGGAAAATGAAGTCCCTGGAAAAGCTCTACACGTGCACAGGGAGAACATGTAAACTCCACACTGAAAGACCCCAAGCAAGGAGGCAATCCTGGAACCTTCTCGCTGATTGGCCACCGCTTTGTAGTGCCGTCATTTTAGGGAGGAGAACACATGAAACATCAGGGTTATTACTTAATAAAAAGAGAACAAACAGCTTGAGGTTTGCCGTTAATAACTGTCATGTGACTGTAGGCGGTTCGATTGGATCAGAGATCGGGAAGACGATGGAGCGATACGATCCAGAAGAGAACAAGTGGGAGGTGATTGGCTCCATGGCTGTTCCACGCTATTACTTTGGCTGTTGTGAGCTACAAGGTGAGTTTCTCTCTTTATTAAATTACACAATAATCAGCTGACACATTACTGTGCAGTAGATAAGACACAGAATACACTGGGTTTGAAAAGTGTTCACCCCCTTAGTGTTTTTTTCTGTTCTGTTGCCTTACAACCTGGAATTAAATTGATTTTTCAATTTGATTATCAGTAATGGACCTATACAGAACACATCAAGATAATGGAATTAAATGGGGAAACATCCATCCATCATTACATCCATCCATCATTACATCCATCATTTCATCCATCCATCCATCCATCCATCCATCCATTCATTCATTCCATCCATTCATCATTACATCCATCATTACATCCATCCATTCGTCATTACATCCATCCATTCTATCCATCCATCCATTCATTCCATCCATTCATCATTACATCCATCCATCCATCATTACATCCATCCATCCCTCACTCAAGGCATCAGAAGCATCTGTAATGTGGGGGTAACAATATAGTGTGTGTGTGCACAAAAAAGCAACATTTCATCTACAAACCGGATTCCAAAAAAGTTGGGACACTAAACAAATTGTGAATAAAAACTGAATGCAATGATGTGGAGATGGCAAATGTCAATATTTTATTCGTAATATAACATAGATGACAGATCAAAAGTTTAATCTGAGTAAATGTAACATTTTAAAGGAAAAATATGTTGATTCAAAATTTCACAGTCAACAAATCCCAAAAAAGTTGGGACAAGTAGTAATAATTGGCTGGAAAAAGGAAATTGAGCATATAACGAACAGCTGGAAGACCAATTAACACTAATTAGGTCAATTGATAACATGACTTCTCAGAGTGTCAGTGTCTCTCAGAAGCCAAGATGGTAAGAGGATCACCAATTCCACCATTGTTGCGCAGGAAGATAGTGCAGCAATACCAGAATGGTGTTACCCAGCGTAAAATAGCAAAGACTTTTAAGTTATCATCATCAACCGTGCATAACATCATCAAAAGATTCAGAGAATCTGGAACAATCGCTGTGCGTAAGGGTCAAGGCCATAAACTCTACTGGATGCTCGTGATCTCCGGGCCCTTAAACGTCACTGCACCTCAAATAGGAATGCCACTGTCAAGGAAATAACAGAATGGGCTCAGGAATACTTCCAGAAAGCATTGTCAGTGAACACAATCCACCGTGCCATCCGCCGTTGCCAGCTGAAACTCTACAGTGCAAAGAGGAAGCCATTTCTAAGCAAGCTCCACAAGCTCAGACGTTTGCACTGGGCCAGAGGTCATTTAAAATGGAGTGTGGCAAAATGGAAGACTGTTCTGTGGTCAGATGAGTCACGATTTGAAGTTCTTCATGGAACACTGGGACGCCATGTCATCTGGACCAGAGAGGACAAGGATAGCCCAAGTTGTTATCAACGCTCCGTTAGGAAGCCTGCATCACTGATGGTATGGGGTTGCATGAGCACTTGTGGCATGGGCAGCTTGCATGTCTGGAAAGGCACCATTAATGCAGAGAACTATGTTCAGGTTCTAGAACAACATATGCTCCCATCTAGACGTCATCTCTTTCAGGGAAGACCCTGCATTTTTCAACACGATAATGCCAGACCACATTCTGCAGCAATCACAACATCATGGCTACGTAGGAGAAGGATCCGGGTACTGAAATGGCCAGCCTGCAGTCCAGATCTTTCACCTATAGAGAACATTTGGCGCATCATAAAGAGGAAGGTGCGACAATGAAGGCCCAAGACGATTGAACAGTTAGAGGCCTGTATTAGACATGAATGGGAGAGCATTCCTATTTCTAAACTTGAGAAACTGGTCTCCTCTGTCCCCAGACGTCTGTTGAGTGTTGTAAGAAGAAGGGGGGATGCCACACAGTGGTAAAAATGGACTTGTCCCAACTTTTTTGGGATTTGTTGACGCCATGAAATTTGGAAACAACAGATTTTTCCCTTAAAATGATACATTCTCTCAGTTTAAACTTTTGATCTGTGATTTGTGTTCTATTCTGAATAAAATATTAGATGTTGGCACCTCCACATCATTGCATTCAGTTTTTATTCACAATTTGTTTAGTGTCCCAACTTTTTTGGAATCCGGTTTGTAGTAGTTTCATTTCCCTCTCAATCTTTAACTGCTTATCCATATTGGGTCACGGAGGCAAGAGGTCCAGTAGAGAAACCAGACATCCCTCTCCCCAGTGACACTTTCCAGTTTCCCCTTGTGGACCCTGAAGGTTCCCAGTCCAGAGAAGGCGCCCAATCCCTCCTGCGAGTTCTGAGTTTTCCTTGGTGCCTCAAAACAGTGGGACATGCCTGAACCACCTCAACTGACGCTTTTTGATGCGAGTAAGCAGCGGCTCTACTCCGAGCTCCCTCCAGATGACAGAGCTCTTCACCTTATCTCTAAAGCTGAGCCTGGCCACTCTATGAAGGAAGCCCGTTTTGGACGCTTGTATCCAGGATCTCGTTCTTTGTCATAATCCAAACCTCATGACCAGAGGTGAGAGCTGGAATGTGGACAGACCAGTAAATGGTGAGATTTGACTTTTGACTCGAGTCTATTTTCACCATGACCCACTGTCACTCGTGAAAAAGACACTCAGGTGCTTAAACTTCCTCACCTGAGGCAAAGACTGCTCCTGACCCAGGGAGTGCATTTTACTCATTTCCAGGTTGCGAACCATGGCCTCAGTCTTGGAGGAACTGACTCTCATTCCAGCTGCTTCACACTCTGCTGAGAAGCGCCTGAGGTTATGCTGAAGGTCTTGGCCCAGAGAAGCCAGCTAAACCACATCATTTGCATAAAGCAGGAGTGAGACCTTGAGGTTCCCAAACCAGACGTCATTCTTTCAGCAACTGTGCCTTGAGAACACCACAAATGGGATCTGAGAAATGGACAGCGCTGGTGGCGTTCAACCCACACAGAGAAGAAACTTGGATCAATTTTGTAATTATGTCATAAGACCTGTGGCCCTTTGTCTTGGACACTCAAGTGAAGAGAAGGGAAGAGCAATCAGCTTATGAAAATTTTCTAGAAGTGTTCATGGAGCTTTATAATAAAAACTGTCCAATAAGGGTATATACAGTGCTTAGCATATTTTTAGTTAACGTTTTTCTTAGTTCATATCTTAGATCTTATTACTGTTCTTCTTTTACAGTTTAATACTTTTGTTGGCTGTAACTGAGACCCTGTGTACACAGTTTCATTCCACCACATGTGGTGGAATGACAAAGAACCTTGAATCTTTGAAAAGGAAAGTAGGCCCTGTTCCAGGCTGTGCTTGGTTTAGGTGGGGAACTGCTGACCCAGACTGAGGAGATTGAGCAATGAAATGAGCACCTCAATGATCTCCTTAATCCACCCACCATGTTCACCTTTGAGGAGGCAGAGTCTGAGGACACAGGAAGACAAATCCATTACCATGACAAAGGTCACAGAGGTAGTCAAAAAGCTCCTTGGTGACAGGGCACCAGGGGTGGACAGGAGTGCATTGAGATACTGAAGGCTCTGGATGTTGTGGGGCCGTCATGGTCAGTACATCTCTTCAATGTTGCATGGAGAACTGGGACAACACTTGTGGAGTGGCAGACTGTGGTGGTGGTTCCCTTTTTTTTAAATGAGGACCAGAGAGAATGTTCCAACTACCGTGGGATCACACTTCTCGCCCTCCGCAGGAAAGTTTACTCCAGGATGTTGGAAGGGATCCGACTAAATGTGAACCCTGGATTCAGGAGGAGCAGTGTGGCTCAGACTGGTCATGAAGGAGCAGTTTGGTGATGAAAATTAGACTAAAACTCCAGAGGTTAGATGGACCGAGATCATGGAGACAAAACTAAAGAGAACTGACGCGGGAACTGCCTCTGACGTTGGCTCTGAAATTCTGATTTTGAGGACGTGAATACTCTGACTTATGTATTTTAGCCTTATTTGTTTCACAATAAGGATAATTTGCATCTTCAAATAGGTAGTTTATGTTGTGTAAATTAAGATACAACAAAAATGTATTTTGTATTTCAGGTCGAGTGTCACCGAAGCAAACAAGTCAGATCTCTCATTTTCTTTTTTTTTCTTCTCCTTATACACCTGAAAACTCACACAGTTGTTTTATTTCCAGGATTGATTTACGTGATTGGAGGGATCAGTGATGAAGGGGTGGAGCTGCGCTCGGCAGAAGTTTATGACCCCATCTCCCGCCGATGGAGCACCCTGCCTATCATGGCTTCACGGCGGGCATATGTGAGCGTGGCCTGCTTAAATAATTGTATTTATGCAGTGGGAGGCTGGAACGAGGAGCTGGGTGCTTTGGAGACAGTAGAAAAGTACTGTCCTGAGGAGGTTAAGTCACTTTAAAGACCTTTGTTCAGTCTTCATCGACCTCTTCCTGGTTTGAAAGATTTTCTCACATCCGTTGCTCTTTCCACAGGAGAAGTGGGTGGAGGTGGCCCCCATGTCCACAGCACGCGCAGGTGTGTCAGTGTCAGCAGTTAACGGGCTGCTGTATGCTGTGGGTGGAAGGGCCGCCAGCAGGGACTTCTCAGCACCCGTGACAATAGATTCTGTGGAGATCTACGACCCCCACCTGGACAAATGGACCGAGGTGGGCAACATGATCACCAGCCGCTGCGATGGTGGACTTGCAGTTCTTTGACACCCCTCACCTCCCGACTGTTTCAACGTCAGCAACTGAAGCATCTCAAACTGTTGAAAAGCTGCACCTTACGAAACACGCAGAGCATGTTTCTGTCTCAAACCGACGGCCACTTTATGATCAGCATTATTTATTCATAGGTCGTTTCTCCTAGTATGAACTGTCGGGAGCGATTGTCTTCTTAACGCTGGAAGCATCCTGGATTGTGCCAAAAAGCTCTTGTTACAAGACTTGTGTGTTCTTTTATTGTCCGTTAGTAAAATATTTGACTTAAAACTTGAAAACATGACACTTATTTACAGGTGCTGGTCATAAAATTAGAATATGAAAAAGTTGATTTATTTCAGTAATTTGATTCGAAAAGTGAAATGTGTATTATATTCATTCATTACACACAGACTGATATATTTCAAATGTTTATTTTAATGTTTATGATTATAACTGACAACTAATGAAAACCCCAAATTCAGTATCTCAGAAAATTAGAATATTAAGATATATATATATATATTTTTTAAAGGATTTTTAGAAATGTTGGCCAATTGAAAAGTATGAGCATGTTCAGCATTCAATACTTAGTTTGGGCTCCTTTTGTCTGGATTACTGCAGCAATGCAGCGTGGCATGCAGTCATTGAGTCTGTGGCACTGCTCAGGTGTTATGAGAGCCCAGGTTGCTCTGATAGTGGTCTTCAGCTCTTCTGAATTGTTGGGTCTGGTGTATCACATCTTCCTCTTCACAGTACTCCATAGATTTTCCATGGGGTTAAGGTTATGCAAGTTTTCTAGCCAATTAAGAACAGGGATACCATGGTCCTTAAACCAGGTACTGGTAGCTTTGGCACTGTGTGCAGGTGCCAAGACCTGTTGGAAAATTAAATCTGCATCCTTGGACTTCAGAAAACACAGTGGACCAACACCAGAAGGTGACATGGCACCCCAAACCATCACTGTGGAAAGTTGACATTGGATCTCAAGCAACGTGGATTCTGTGCCTCTCCTCTCTTCCTCCAGACTCTGGGACCTTGATTTCCAAAGGAAATGCAAAATTTATTTTCATCAGAGAACATAACTTTGGACCACTCAGCAGCAGTCCCAGGCGAGATGCTTCTGTCTCCGTCACTTGTTCAAGAGTGGCTTGACACAAGGAATGTGACAGCTGAACCCCATGTCTTGCATATGTCTGTGCTTGGTGGTTCTTGAAGCACTGACTCCAGCTGCAGTCCACTCTTTGTGAATCTCCCCCACATTTTGGTTATCCCTATTGCTTGTACACTTTTTTTATCTACCATATCATTTCCTTCCCTGTGCTTGGACACAGAGCTCTGTGAACAGGCAGCCTCTTTAACAATGACCTATTGTGTCTTGCCCTCCTTGTGCAAGGTGTCAATGGTCATCTTTTGGACAACCGTCAAGTCAACAGCCAGGATTGTGTAGCCTACAGAACTAGACTGAGACCATTTAAAGGCCTAAGTGTTTTGAGTTAATTAGCTGATTAGAGTGTGGCACCAGGTGTCTTCAATATTGAACCTTTTCACAATATTCAAATTTTCTGAGATACTGAATTTGGGAGTTTTCCTTAGTTGTAATCATCAACATTAAAAGAAAAACTTTTGAACTATATCAACCTGTGTGTAATGAATTAAAATATACAAGTTTCACTTTTTGAATGGAATTATTGAAATAAATCAACTTTTTCATAATTCTAATTTTATGACCAGCACCTGTATAAGTGCTAAGGTCTCCTGTGAGCAGGAACAGTTTTCACAGTGAGTTGTGAATGTTGATGCAGGAGGAACAATTTAAAAAACGTTTTTCCCCTCGGTGAGATCTTAGTTTGGTAAATTTATCAGACTGACAGTGAAACCAAATGAAACTCTGGCTGTTTAGTGTCTTAAGACGTTCCTGTAAACTTGATTAATATGTCAGTATCAGCACAGCAGTACAGTCTTCACTGGAGGCTTTTAATCCCATGTTGTTACAACAGCTGCCTCTGTATTGAAGTTTCTATTGAAACTGTTTCATTTATCAGTGGCTCCTGAAATAAATATTTTCATTACATTTTAAATTGATGCTGAACTTGTCAATTATACAGTTTTAATCTAGTATCAAGTCAAATGTTGGGCACAATGAGAGATGTCCCAAATGTATTTTTAGCAATAAAAAATGTTTCAGCACAGTGGTAAGAACTTTTAATTGCTTATTTTTACTTCTAAATAAACATCACAAAATTAACTTTACATTTCACAAATAAAGTCAGTTTGTGTTCTTTACCTCCATACTTTGTTAAAACTCCCAAGTTAAAATGTCATAAAATGGTCCGAGTTATTCAACATTTACACTGTTAAACTAAAAAACACTTTTTAGAAAATACTATGACAAAGTTTGTGTTTAAAGTAGTATTTTTCACTTTATTTGAAATGTATTTTATTGTTTTGATAATGTATCTTGCTTTGGGTTTGATTTTCTGGTTTACTCATCAATAAATGTTTTGTTCTTTTAAATAAACCATTTTACTCAAATGCCATATTTGAAGCTTAGGGTCTTTGTAGTTTAATCTTACAAAACCAACAACCATGAAACCATCTTCATCCTGCAGTAATTTCTGACAAATATGTCATTAGATAAGTTCCAGTTTAAAGTTTTTCTTCTTCCAGTTTTCAACATCTGCATGTCAGCACCTAAACAGCAATGTCAAAATCCTTGAAAGAAAGGTTCAGTTTCTGTTTCACAATAAATCTGTTTCCTATAGACTTTAAGAAGTATTTCAGAGGTTAGTATGTGAAGAGCCCGTCTGATTTTCAGATAAAGAAACGTGAACGATATGCAGGCAGGTCTTGTCACTATTATTTTTTTCAGCTCTTCTCGTCAGAAATGACTAGTGAGTCGTCGTCCTCCATCTCACACTCTTGTCTTCACTCCAGCTACCTCCATGTCCTCTAATTGCATCCATACATCTCCTTTTCCATCTTCCTCCTCTGATGATCTCATTCCTAATCTTTATCCATCTTTGTCATGCCCAAGAACCTCAACATATTCATTTCTGCTACTTCAAGTTCTCCTGTCTTTTTGTCAATGGCACAGTCTCCAGACCACACAACATAGCTGGTCTCACTGTCTTGTACACATTTCCTTTGACATTTGCTGCCACCTGTTTGTCACAAATCAACCCTGTAATTTTTCTCCATCCAGAATGGACTCTCCACACACCCTGGTTTATTGGACAGTCAATAATAAGTACTTGAAATTCTGCACCTTTGTGACCTCCTTGTAGCCTATATACCAAATTCTGTGTGAAACGCAAACAACTAAAACAAACATTGTTACTAAGATATACATGTATCAACTCTGCATGGTTAAATCTACAAAATTAAGTTAATTATCTGTTTTTAGTTTTTTCTCAGAGTAGACTTTCTTAAGTACCAGTGTGGCTACCAGAGAGAAGGTGGCCACCAGTGTAAGGACAGTTCTCATGACTTTGAACCAGGCAGGATAGCCAGGCAGCAATGCCAGGTCATAATATAGTGACAGACCTAGACCCATGATAACTATCAGGGCTCCTTCAGTAATGTGGTCCTTGCAGAGCAGCGCCAACCAGGCCAGAAGTGATGGAACCACACTGTTACCCAAGTTCATCCAGTTTGGTTTAGCAGGACTTCCAGCTGGAATGGCAAATCCCCAGCGAGCACCTCCAAGAAAGGATACAATACATGCTCCATAAACCATCTGAGCAAATGCTACTTCAGGGTAGAATGACTGTGTGGCTGTCATCAGGAGTGGGGCAGAGAGGAAGGGGATGAGTCCCGAAAGACCGAGGTACAGTGCTGGTTTGGGTGCCTTAATGGTGAATCTTTCTTTGCCGTTGTCTTGTTTTTGTGCGACGTCTTGTGTGTCCCCATGGCAGAGACGGGAGGTCTCCCAGCTCACAGGCCTGATCCTCAGCAGCCTGTTGGAGGAGGCTGCTATGTTTGGCACAAACACAGAGGAGGACTGAGGACGACACAATAGCAGAGTTTGTGTTGTGTACGTAGGTGTCATGATTTTCTTCTGGAAACATCTCCACGTTAGAACCTGAGACCAGAATAAACACAAGCAAGAAAATCACAAGTTTGTCACACACGTGGATACAGTACATTGACACTTCCATTATCTTTGTAGGCGAGCTGTGTTACTTTACCCCAGATATTATCCCTCTTCTGCATGGAAGACGTATCATTGTTAATCTAAAAACAAACCAAAAGGATACACAAGTTAGTCATAATAAAACGGCATATACGAAGGTCTTCCTAGTTGCTAGCTGCTAGCATTCGACGTGATACATAAGAACCTTTAAATAAACTATAGTTGTTGCATTTACCCGTTAGTCTTTAACTTTTTTTGTGCTCTAAGTGGCTTGTTCAGGCACGACAAAATAAATCCAACAGCAACTAAGTTAATTAAACTAGAGGTCGTTTGATAATTAAATCTATGGATTTATCGCTGTTATTTTATCCTTGCTCGATTAAATGCCTATCTTCTCGACTCTGAGTCTGGCTAGTATGTCCTGTACGTACACCGACGTAAGCTTCGTTCAAAGCAGCTCATTCCGAGTTTAAGTATTACGAGCATCAAGCTTTTAAAACATTCACAAACACCACTTTACAATGCCAACCACATGCGTATTGTAGTATATAAGCCTAAATGCGTTTAAGAATCACAACAGTGAGCCAGTTTAATTAAGAACACTGTTGAACCATGCGAAGTTACATAATGACGACAGTTCTTGAACGCAGCACGGTTGAAGCTGTTGGAATCTCTCAGTGCCAGCGCCAGTGGTAAGCGCACCTAAACCCAAACAAACATAGACGGCCTATTGTCGAGGAAGTTTATCGGTACAAAAAGGAGTAATCGAATTAGCGTTTGCGGATTTTCTACAGTTTCTAAATTTCCCGACTTGGAACTATCTTGCTCTTGAGAAGGTGCGCGGTATCGTCATAAAATACTGCAAGTTAGCTCGCTAGCACTTAGCAAACTGATAAATGTGTGCTGCTGCTAAGGTAGCCATTTTGAAACTCTTATTATTCCAGCCAAACCAGGTCTGTTTACCTTTATTGTTTGTCCGTGACAATTGCTTAAGCGGGTGGTTTTAAGCTATTTTGGGATAATAAGTACGTTTTTACTTGGCTATACTTGCTAACTGCACGAACTCCTAATTAATTCTCATTTTCACGGGCGACTTAACTGGCTGGTGGGGGGGTGGACGTCAGCTCTGGGCTAATATTGCTACGCTAACGTGAAACCCAGTAGGTAGTTTGCTAGTGGTGGTGTTTCAAAATATTACACGACGTTCTGAATGGGTAGTTTAATTTTAACTGGGTGAGAAGAACAACGAGCGTCTTAGATTATTTTAATGCACTTTATTCATTCCATTTAGCGAGTTAGCTTAACGAAACGCGCGTGCAGCGTAACTTGTCGCTGCAGCGTTATTCAGTTTTGTTTACGGTGTGCTAATGTCCAAGCGCTCCAGGTTTGGTGTCGTAGTTAGCACATGTGCATCGTTTTACACGGAGTAAATGTTTGTGCTTCAGTTGTGGCCAGCTCATTGATGATGAGCGGTTTACGTAATAATTCAGTGAGGATACGTGCGTATTTAAAACGGTGCAGAAATAAAATAGCTGATTTTATTTGACGTTGTAGTAGAGATAATTGAATTTCTTTATGTGCACAGCAGAGAAAGATGTTCATATTTTCACACTCATTTAGATGTTTCAGAACATTTTATTATATCAAGTTGTGCCCTTTTTTTATCATTTCGCTTGAATAATTTTAATGTTTTTCTGAAGTTTTTGCCTCAAAAATCTGAGGATAACTTTTGTACTTTTAGATAATCAGATAGCCACATGCTATAGGTTAATATCAATACTGATGATTGTATTTGAAAGAGATTTAAACAAACTGTTATATTATATCAGTGAGGCATGTTTAAGTACAAAACGAAGGAACTTGCAGAAGATTTAACATTCTGGACTAATTAACATTCTTAGAAAAAGCCTTGAAATTTTCATTAATTTTATTTACCGGTAACTACTTATTTTAAAGCTGTTAGGATTAACATCCATTTGGTATTTTTTAATTAACTAACAAATTGAATACGGAAAAAAATTTTAGTTTGTTAACCAGGAAATTATATTTTCAAACCACGAGGAGTTATTGTGGACTGCCAGTTTTGCAGTGGCCAGGAAAGCCTGTGCTGTCTTAAATCAGTCGACTTGGAGGATATAGGTGCCTGGAAACATTATTTAAATGTTTATTTATTTTTACATCCTTTACTGTTTTAGGGAAATTGAGCACTCTACATCTGTCTCATAAACTGTAAGTAAGTAATTAGGTGACGTGTCTGTACATCATCAATACAGATCCCCCAAACTTCAACCTGCTGTCCTGTATAAAGTTGTTTTATGGCATAATAACCCCCAAAATCATAAATGCATGGACTAAAACCAAGATTACAACTGCGTAATAGCTGCTTTTTATTATTATTATTATTATTTTATTTGCAGTAACTTGGTTACACAAATTGAAATTTCTTAAACCTTTTTTTTTCTGTTTAGGGACTTCATTCTAGTCTCAGTCACAAATTAACAAATGTAATAAAAACCTGCAATATAGCCCTTATAAAACAAGACGTTCATTCAACTTAATGGTTATTGTGGAGAGGCTGTTTACCGTTTCAAAAGTGTGTTGTTTGTGTTTTATCCATTTGTGTATTTCATTTATTAAATTTCCGGCACAAATTGCAGTTAAAAAATCTAAAACATTCCTTTAACAGAGCTTCATAAAGTTGCATTTCTTATATCTGTTTTAGTTTGGCATGGTGTTCTCAGAACATTACCAGTATTTGGTAAATTTTAAGTATTTGTGTAAATTTGATTTTAGATTTTTCTTAATGTAAATTAATTTTGTCTTTTGCAGATGCAGTTTGCCGTTGAGCACAAACCTGCGAACAGTCAGCAAGACACGTGAAACTGCAACAAAGTTTCCTTTGGGCTCCAAAATAACTATTTAAAGAAGAGAAGATCCACTTCACGAAATTTGGACGCTTTTTTTTCTTCTTCTTCCAATATTTTTTTCTTCAAATCAGGAAAAAAAAAAAAAAACATCAATTAAGTTGTCATCAGAGATTATTTTTGTTTTTGTGCTAAACATCACCTGAGCAGGCTTATGACCTTTGACCTCTATGAAATCCGAGCTGGACTTTCTTTCTGCTCCAATCAAGAATCACAGCTAATTAAATGGGCCTCTTACAGATGTGATTGTCTATCAAAGACATAAATGTCGTTATGATGCGTCCTTCAGCTCTGTTTCACTAACCTGGACTGAAAATGACAGCAATGTAACAGAGGGCTACACTTCCTTCCTTGTCATGTGACTTTGAACTTTTTGCTCTTTATTTTTTCCAAACTAAGACGTCTTTTCACCAGTTTGATGAGGTGAACACTGGTTTCAAGTGACCTCTGCTGCCAATAAAAGTCTGTCTTAAGATTTTTTTTTTACTTTTTTTATTTAATTTAATTATTTTTTTTTTGCATGTATTCAACTTGATCTTAAAATGATTCGGTAGAAGGCACGCTCAGAAGTGTACTGGCACACAGTGGCAGGATATCACCTGTCTCTTCCTCTAGCTGTGGTGTCCACGCTCCAGAGCAGACGGTGTCCACAGACTCTTTGCTTATTGTGAAATTAAAGACGGGACTGCCTCACCACTGGGACAAATCACTTCTCTCATCAATCCATTTTGCCAATCATAATCAAGTTCAATCAGGTTTTGAGACTTGTGACAATAAGAGCAAATGCTTCCAAATCACTGAAGGGAATCTGTCTGCTTACAAAATAAAAGGCCTGGAAACCGAATCGATGAGAGGCAACGTCGCCAGAAGGACTGCTTGAGTTTTGATTCAAAAAGGATAATCTGTCCAATTCTAGATCTTTGTGCTTCAAACATTCACTTCCTGCGTGGCTCGCTCTGAGTACCCAATCATTTCAGCAAACCATCTCCGGCTGTCTCACCCTGGACAAAGGGGTCTGCTTCTGGAGAAACTTACCTGGTGGAGGAGGAGTGGGGGGTCTTCTGTGTGTTGCGCCCCACCTGTCAGTGCACGCCCTCTGATCAGCGCCAGCAGGCCTGAGGAGCCCAGGCAGAGGACTTCAGAGCCACAGACTCTGGGGTAATGTTCAGGTTTCACCTCACCGACCTTCCTGTGACATACACGCATGATGGCATCAAATGAGCCGGTCACTTGTCAACATTTTGTGGGCAGAGTTGTTTATTTGCTGCCATCTGTGTTTACACATTTATCAAAGCAGCGTGTATAGATATGTAGCTGATCTCCACACAGAAATAGCTGCAGCTTTATTTGCTAAGAATGGGACTTATTTTCAGCTCGTCTCGTTTCTGGCCTTTGCAATAAATCTTTAACATATTTAAGAGTGATTTAAAACAAATCTGAGTTATTACAACCTAAATTTTTAAAATGTTTGGATGTTCTATAAAGTTTAAATGAAAACGCTTCAATTTATAAATTTCATAAATCATTTTATTCACAATGGAACACAATACATGTATCAAATGTTTATCGTTTTTAAGAGAACAAATTTATTTATTTGATGGCAGCAACATCTGTTTAGTCCATGTTTCCAGCGTTAACCATCTCCTCTAACAACAGTCTAAATGTCCCGTTCTTGTGTGATGTAGGATTCTAGCTGTTCAACAGTCCTGTGTTGTTGTTGTTGTTGTTGTTGTTGTTGTTGTTGTTGTTGTCAGATGTTTTCATTAGGTGAGGTTTGTTCTGCAGGCAGCTCAGTTCAGCACCCGGACTCTTCCCCTATAAAGCCATGCTGTTGTCGTGGATACTTGAAGTAGTTTAGCATTTTCTTGCTGAAATATGCAAAGTCTTCTCTGAAAAAAGACAGCTGGATGGGAGCATATGTTCTAAAACTTGCAGATACTTTTTTTTTTTTTTGCGTTGGAGCTTTTCCTGGTGTGAAAGCTGCCAGTGGCAGTAATGCCCCTCCATCCCATCAGGCAGAGGCGTTTGAACGGTGGATGGTCGCGCTCCTCTTCAGGTTTCTGTGGTTTCCAAACATTATTTCACATTTGGATTCATCTGATCACAGAACAGTTTTCCACTTTGCCTCAGTCCGTTTTAAACAAGCTTTTGTCCAGAGAAGACATTTGTTTCTGGGTGGTGTTTACATATGGCTTCTTCTTTGCATGATAGAGCTTTAAGCCATGTTTGTGGATGGCACAGGGAACTGTGTTCATGCAGCGGCTCCTGAGGGCCCACGGACATCCAGTATTGACGTTCAGTCTTGTCCTTTAAGCTCTGGGATTTTTACAGATTCAAATGTTTTGACGATATTAAGATATGTAGATGATGGAATATTCAAAAATTAGAAATGGTTTCTCATTTTTAGATGTACTTTTTCACAGACTGGTGAGCCTCTGCCCATCCTGTGAAATTCAGCCTTTTGACAGTTAACCTAAATGTAAAATATTCCTCCTGCTGGTTTTTATTTGTGTTGCTGACCTTTACAGTTTTTTGTTTCTCTTGTCAACTTTTAAGATGGGTTGCTGCCGTAAAGTTCAAAATTAAATTTAAATCAAATGATTCAATTTACTGGTTCAAACATTTGATGTTTCATTTGTTCCAACGTGAATGAAATGAGTTTATAAAATCGTTGTTTGTTTACATTTGACACCATGTTGCAACTTCTTTAATTGTAGTTGTAGAAATCGAAAGACTGAATCCTGCTTCATGTTTCTGCACTGAAAGCAGCAGGAGATGAATATTACAAATGTCTTTCTCGTTTTGTTTTTATTGTTTTTAGATCCTGGCCATGAGGTTTGATGCCTCGATCCACTGACCGGAAACACTGGACCTAAATGGCGCAGCATGACTTTGTCCCTGCCTGGCTTAACTTCTCCACACCCCAGCCTGCCAAGGTACAGGGATGGTTTTTTGTTGTTGTTTTTTTGTGAGGACGGTGCATAATGTAGACATGTGTCAGCCTGTGTCTTGTAGACTTTGCTGAAAATAATCCTTACTGGGTCTGCCTGTAAACCTGTGTGTCCTCAGCTGTCCCTGAGGGACAGACCATGTCTTCTGCAGATGGTGCTGAACGTTCACAGACTGATGTGCAGACAATATTTGTTATTTTATTGTTGACATAGATGCAAAAATGTTCTTGTTTAAATTCTGTAAATCACTTCCATGTTTCTCATCACCCGTGCACGCACGCACGCACACACACACACACACACACACACACACACACACAGTGCTTTTCCTTTATAGATATTCTGTTCACTGTGTAGACTACGACTACCATACTTTTTGTTGTATAAGTCACACCTTTTTGCATAAATGTGCATGCCCTGTGACTAAAGCCCCCAGTATACTGATGCGTATGTCCATACGCAGAGGTACGCACGTTCATACGCGAAGGTACGAGCGTATCCCCCAGGGCATGTCCGTGCAAAGCTTAAATTTTTACGACCACGTACGCGGTGTCGCACAATAAACTTCCTGTCGACGGACTTTTTTGAATGCGACACCAATGTATTAAATTCCCCTTCTTCATCCCTGATCTGGCCTTTTCTTTTGTTTTTTTGCCAAGAGGCAGTGTTCTCTTCCTCCTCCGTTGATGCAATGACTGAAATGGTGAGAAATGGAGGAATTTGTCATAAGAAAATTAAACTCAGGTCCAGCGTGGCTGCAGGAGGGTCTGCAGATCTCCTGGTGGGCTGGTGTGATGTGTGGGCTGTAGAGCCAGCGTGCTCTTTTTTTTTTTTTTTTTAGATCTTTTTATTAACAACATATAAACACAGAACACCGCTGTGGCTGAGGCTGCCAGCACTCGTTTTTTTTTTGTTTTTTTTTCCCGACCTGTCAATCAATCCAGTAGGCGTGTCAGCAAATGACCAATCGGCGTCCTCAGTTTGTCCCGAAGGTAAACGCCCCTCGTCTGTGAAGCTGCTCTGCAGCTGCTCAGGGTGTACGCTGGAGTACAAAGTCTTAACCCTCTGCGTACAGTACACGTGTATGTCCGTTCACACGTACGTACGCGGCAGTATACTGGAGGCTTCATAAGGCGAAGAGAGTTATTTACATTTTTTTCCCATTTAAAAACAAAAACGGTAATCCACTGGATTATCTGAGACTGCTGTGTAGGTTGGACCTATGCTAATAATTTAAAGAATTTAAAGAAAATATTCTTCAAAAGGATATACAGTAACAGCCATATTGAAGTTAGGTTCTGTGGAAACGTGACAAAAGATTACTGTCTTAGTTCCAGTTGTTTGGTTCTTAGCCAACTAGCTCATCAGCTCCGTTTCTCTAAACTGAGGCCTTTCAAAAAGATCTCTACAACAGGTAAGATATTGACAACTTTACCACAAAATCCAGCTTCAAAATGGCCAGAATGGCCTTTTAAGAAGCATGTATCCATTTTTGAATCAGACCTTGTTCATCACTGACATTAAAAGAACTGAAGGTCACAAAACAATGTGTAGTAAATACCCTTGATTTGTTGTTTGGGTTAAAATGTTTAACTGAAAGCTCCAAGAATGTAGCGCTCATCTTCACCACCCACTCATTCTTCACATAACTGTGTTTAGAGGAGAAATATTTGTTTAATCCATGTTAATGCGCACATTAAGGCATTCCTTGATAAGTGGGAAGTCTTATTTAAGATAAGGAGCTCACTCTGGTTGAAGGTCAAAGAAGCCTTTCTGGAGGAGGTTGAAAATGTTTGTTCAGGGATTTGCTGTTGCTCACAGACGGGCGTAACGTCTTGTTCCAGGTTACTGTTTTGATCAGCGCTTCAAGGTAGTTTTTAGGGTCAGTAAAAACAAAAGTTTATTACAGGTTGACACAGACGTTAGCACCTGCTCTTATCATCGAGCAGAGGTCTGCATGTCCAGCATGGCCACACTTGTTTTGTGCTTTTTATATGGACTGATTGTTTTGGATGGGATCCTTATAAAGTTCTGGAGATGCTTGTTTAAGTCTCTGTCGCACTGTGACGTAAAGCGTCAGCGCATGTCAGTGAATGGGAAAAAGACAAATGTTGGTGTAAGTTGCATAAGTTAGGTGTACGTTTCAAACGCTGATATATGATGGCCAGGCAATAATTTTGTTTATGCACAGAAATGTCAGCGTATGACGACATGTTGCTGGTAAGTTAGGTATTACAGGTACGTTATTCATAAGTTCACACACATGGGGATCCAGTGGGGCAGTTGTGTACGTGCACATAACTTATTTCTAACCTATGAGCATCTTGACTTTAGCAGAGTTTATGCACAGTGTTATTGTTACGCTGAACTTGTGCACAGCATGTTTTAGCATACTGAGGATAAACGTGACGATCAGATGTAAAACAGCAGCTCTGCAGCCACACATTAATTTTGCATTGATCAACAAGCCTCAGAAGAAATGGAACAAATCTGTGATGAAGAAAGCTGCAGCAGGTTCCTCCATCTCTGTGGTGATAGATGTGGACCTCTGCACCTCATGGATCCAGCAGGAGCGATGAGTTGCTCACCATTCTCCAAAATGCTGATAGCACACTCGCTGCAAGTTATGAACAGGCTCAGTAAGTTGTAGGGTTGTCAACTACTGGTATACGTTGAACATGTCGGTATAGTGTAATGCTCCTCGGCATGGGAAGAACTTGAGCCGGAGCCAACTGTGCACTCTATTATGAGTTGATGTCACCGCTACAATTCACACTGGACCCAATTTGAACGAGCGCTCTACCCCTGGCGCTCACTTGTTCTCTCCTTCTGTCTCTCCCACACTCACGCCTCTCACACATCTAGCTAACACTTGCAGCTGGTTTCTGATGAGTGTCAACTTGTGAGTAACTTAATGTAACGTGTAAACTTATGTCTAACTTACCTGTCACATACCTGCAAATTATGCATAACTTCTTCAATTCAGTCCAGTTTATAAAGCTCCAAGTCACAGCAGACGTCGTCTCAGGGCACTGAACAGAAACGTTCATATATATGAAAAGCAAGTTAACAACATTAATTATCTGAGGAGCTTTGAGTTTAAATTCATCGCAGACTTAGCAAGCATGAAGGCAACAGTGGAAAGAAAAACTCCTTCATGAGAAAGAAACCTCCAGCAGAACCAGGCTCAGGACAAGCGGCCATCTGCTTCGACTTAGGCAGAGTTTAACTTATGAACAACATGTCTGCGTACCATCGCCGTGTGATGAGCATGCCGTCGTACTTCAATGTGTTGGTAACTTATTCAAAACTTACACCCAACTTATGGCTTACATCAGCGTGTTGATCATTATTTTCTGTGCATCACTGCGTGACAGCTGCCCTCCGCTCCACCATGCGGTGCAGAACAAGTTACACTATCGTTGATCATAAACTGCATAAATCAAAATGTTAGTACAAGTTGTGTATAAGCTAGAGAGAGACATGTTATAGATGAGTTACTCTATTTGTTCAACCTTTTGGCAATACAGTATGTGTACAGTAGTCCCTCGATTATTGCGGGGGTTACGTTCCAAACACCACCGCGATAGGTGAAAAACCGCAAAGTAGGAACTCTGCATAAATAAAATAATAACAATAATAATATTTTAATATTTATATATATTTTAGGCTTTATAAACCCTTCCCACACTCTTGCAATGTTCTAAACTCTTAAACCTACATCATTTTAACAACATATGTATATGCACTGTACAATTTTACTCACCAGCTCTGCAGACCAGCAGCTCTGTTCTGGTCGGGCTCAGTTCCAGTTCTGCAGACCTACCCTGCAGCATGAAGCCCACCACACAGTCCAGGTTGATGTGCACGTGGATAATTGAGCTTCAGGATTATTTCAGTTCTGTGAGCTTCATAGATATATCGTTACTTCTGATTTTGCGTTGCAAAACTTTCCCTCCATTTTGGCAGAAAGCAGCGGCCAGAAGCCCTGTTGACTTCTGGGTAGTGTAGTTCCGTTGACCTGCATTGCATTGTAGGTTTATTGAAATAAAACTACAAAATGCCGGCACCTGTCCAAAGTATTTTTCCGTTAACTTTTTATCTCGTACCGTCCCGATCATGTGAGTAATACTAAAGTTGACAATCATTGGAAAAACCACGAAAGAACACGTCAACAAAAGTTGAACCGTGAAGTAGCGAGGGACTGCTGTACTCCAAAAGAGGCTTCAAGTTGTTTTGTTTTTTTATTCCACCTTCAGCTCATGCCCTTTGTGTTGGACTAAATTACATACGTCGACATAAGATCAATAAAACGTTATGGTGTTACAGAGCCCTCAGGTCAGAGCTTTTGTTGTGTATGTAGGGAGGGGCAGGGAGGGGTTCAATATACTTTGGAGGAATGTCTGGTCAATAAAGTTTTATTGGATTGAAGCTGTTGGATACACTCAAGGTAACAGGACTTGGTGAATACGTTTGTGAAGCCATGTGGGCCTTTACTCTCATTTCTTCTCAGAATCCAAAAGTGTTTGTTGACATAATGTCAGTATGTTTTTAGTTCAGAGGTCTGACCCCGGTGTCTACAATATGATTGGGGGGGGGGGGTGTCGCAAACGTTCAGTGTAACGTGTGAAACAGGAAGTTGATTTCCTGATTTTACATTCAGACAGAACTACGTTCACACTTCTGTCCTCCTAACACACAACCTAAACTCTTGTCACGTCGACTGACTGGTCCAAATGTACTTAATTTACTTCTCATTGTTGCTTGAAACACGGAGGAGTATGACGTTAAACCTCAGCTGATAACGAGTCTGGTGCAGATAGATGGGAGCCTTTCACTCTGCACTTTGAAACAATCAAGTTTTTTGGTGTGCGTTCTTGGAGAATCCTCTTTAGATCTTTGAAGTTACATTTGAAACATTTTAAGACTAAAGAGAAAGGTTCATGTACAGAGAATGGTTTAGTCCTATATTTACAGCCATGCTTGTCACTTTAACCTGGACTAAAGTGTCATTTTCCACCGTTGCTGTAAACTCGTGAAGTTTTAATTTTAACTAACACCCCTCCTGTCTTCTGCAGTCTTCTGCTGCCAACCTTGACAAGCAAGGTGAGCCTCACCTCCACAGAGACGGCAAACCTGCTGCGAGCCGCCGCCGCCACAACTCCTCTGATGGCTTCTTCAACAACGGCTCCCTGCGCGCTTCAGCAGGTAACAAATTAAGCCGCTTTGTCAAACTTGTTCCTGATATTAGAAAGTTTAAACACTCAAAACAGAAGCACCGTGGAGAAAATATGAAGAACCCCTGAAAAAACTGGAGGGCAGGAGGTTTATGAATGCCAGTTCGGTGATTTCTGAGGTTTTTTTTTGTTTGTTTCAGGCCACAAAATATAATTTACAGACTTGTGATAATGTCTGAAGTATACAAACAGAACAATAAGCCATTTGACAAGGAGTCTTGTCAAACATGTTTTTAATGTGTGTATCTAACAATAACCAGTATTTTTTTTAATGTATTTATAAGAGTTATGGCGTTACAGAGTATTGACAATTGTTTAAAAAGGGTCACTTAATTTCTGTAGGGGTCCTCAAGTTCCCACAGGTCCTAACCCCAATTTTGGAAAATACTGTGGCAATTTAAACTTCACCAGAAGGTGCAAAACACCAAGGACATTTCATTCAGGTTGTCTCAAATGTGGATAAGTTGCTGTGGAGCAGAAGAAGAGCTACGACAGCAGCATGTTGTTCAGAGAAGCTGTTCACATTCTCAAGTTCACCCTTCATCCTCTGGGTTTAGCCAGTTTGCTCGTCTTTGTCAGATTTGAACCAGTGTGGAACGTACTTGCGTTATGTAATCAAGTATGAATTTAGTGTACTTTGCACTTTTTAAAGTAATTATTCCAATATACACCCGAGTATGTTTTGCTTTAATATTCTTCTTAGTTACATTGGAAATCCCATCTGTTACTGAGTAGAAAATGTGAACATAAATACATGAAATTAAATGAAGCGGTAACAAAAAGCACTCCGTCAGCCCGCAGCGACTGGATCTGTTCTTCATCAGTCAGCCGGTGTTTGATAAAGCTAGAAGTGATAGAGATTGTGTACAAACTCCACGGGGATGGAGTTGTGGGTGCAGGACATTTCAGTAGGCAGGGTGATCAGTTCTGTTGACAGGGCAGGACGCTCTCCTTGGATAACGGTAGAGGTAACACTGAGCTCTGTCGCAGCTGGTATAACCTGACATGATGATAAACAGAGCATCAACAACTCCCAAACTCACGTCTGAAAACATGTCGGAGAATCAATACGTGGGCCTGATCTATTTACAACATGCAGCCTGATTAAAAGAAAAAAGTAAGGTAGTAGTAATAATAATAGTAATAATGCAATTCAGTTTTCAATTCACTTTATTTCTATAGCGCCAAGTCACAACAGAAGTCATCTCAGGGCACTGCACAGAAACATTCACATACATTATAAAAGCCAATCAGTAAAAGTTATTTACCTAAGGAAGCAGCAGATTGTGATGAATCTTCACTTTGTCACAGTCTCCACATCCTGAGCAAGCACCAAGGTAACAGTGGAAAGGAAAAACTCCCTTTTAACAAAAAGAAACCTCCAGCAGAGCCAGGCTCAGGACGAGCGTCCATCTGCTTCGACTGGCTGGGTTTGAGAGGACAGGAAGGAGGAACAGACAGAATGTCGGGTCCAGATGTACTTCCTATTGGAAGAAAGACAAAAAACATGTTAATGATAGAATCAATTAGGTAGAGTAAGTAAAGACAGCAGCAGAGTGAGGACATGAGGTCAATTTGTCCTCCAGCTGTCTAAGACTATAGCAGCATAACTAGGGATAGGTCAGGAAACCCAAGCTGACCCTAACTATAGGATTTATCAAAAAGGAAAGACTTGAGCCTTAGTCAGTGAATAATAATAATAAGGGAAAACAAAAATATTTTCTTGTTGCCTCAGTGGACCTGCTACATTCACACATCAGCTGAGAAGTTTCTCTAAGGCAGGAGTTCAAAGTTCTGTTGGAAAACGATGTTCCAGTAAATTGACCCACCGTTAGTTTGATCAGGATTATTTTTATTAACCGTCATGTGGAATTCACAGTGAATAAATATTAGAGACGGTCCAGGAGTTCTGATGATGATCGGTTTAATTTATGGTTCTGGTGTTTTCTAAAATACATCCATTTAGTTTTTACTGTAACTCCACTGCACCTCCTTTAGGCTCTGTGTGTGTGTATGCAAGTAATTCCAGTATTTTCTGTTTGTAAGGTGACGGGTGGCAGCAGCACTCGCTGCTGTTAAGGCACGACTCTGTGGACTCGGGGGTGGCCAAAGGAGTACACGGTGGACTGGCAGGAAGCTCCTGTTGGAAGGAAACACCCAGCTGGCATGGAGCTCCCCAAAGTGTCCAGGACAGCCACCACCACCAGGGACGCCACCTCAAACGGGGTGGAGGCGACAGGGACAGGCAGGGGGGGCACAGGCAGCGCAACAGTAATTTCCATCCCCGCAAGGGAACCTCGTACCAGGACAAGTTTCCCAACGAGGAACGCAAAGACAGCAAGGACGACAAGCTGAAGTTTGTAGAAGAGGACTTTGTGAGTTCCTAACCCTGCTGTCGACTCACGTTTTCACATTGCTCCTTTACAAATGATGATGATGATGATGATGTAACATCTGGAAACTGTGTTTGGCCTTTTAGCCCTCCCTCAACCCTGAAACAACTGGAAAGCCTGGGACTCCGATGCGAGCAGTTGCCCCCCATGCTGGGGTGTGGGGTAAGAGTTTCCATCCCTGATGAATCTTTTCTTAACATGTAACTTCTCTGCTGCTACTCAGTAACAGTTCTTCTTTGATTGTTGAACACGTGTGCAGAAAACCCCCCCAGTGGCAAACAGATGGTGTCCAAGATGCTAGTTATCAAGAAGGTTTCCAAGGAGGACACTGGCTCGGCCTTCTCTGCTGGGTTTGCCACTGCGGGCGCCTTGCCCACGAACGGCAGCAAAGCTCCCATCACAGGTTCCAGCGTCTACAAGAACCTGGTCCCAAAGCCTGCTCTCGCCCCCACCAAAGTAAGAGTCCGCCACGTTACTCCAGCAGCACAGCTGGGACCGTCAGGCTCTTTCTGTAACACGCCGTCTGTCTTCCAGAGCTCCCAGTGGAAATCTGGAGCTAGAGAGATCACCAAGTCTGGTCTTCACATGCCAGGTCGGGACTCAGTCTTCACCAGCCCTGTCTCTGCAGCCAAACCCAGCACCACAGTCAGCGCACCCCCGCACACCACCCAGAAGGAGGTCAGAACCATGAACACAAAGAAATGACTCCAGTCTGTTCGTTCTGTCCAGGGCTCTGCAGCCTTTGTGATCAAAACAGCCATTTTTACTCCTTGTTCTCAACATTAAAAAGTGTCCAGAGCCTCAAAACCTGCTGTGACCATCAACTGACGGCCCATGGGCCAGTTTGAGTTTGTTGCAGGGGGGGCTTTCTGGCCAGGTGGGATGATATTATCAAACTAAAATTATTTAATGAATTTAACACTCGTTGATTTTATTTATTTTTTGTTGACATTTTAAGATTAAAGAAAAATATATTTATGTAAAGAAGTAAATAAATTATAGTTTTTACAAATTTTATAAAAATTAAAACTACAGATCTCATCTGTGGAAGACGTAGTTAAGTATCCCACTTTAAAGTAATAAAGTGTACATAAAACACGGGCCATTTTGTTGGATATGTAGTACTGACTTAGTGACATTTTAAATGAAAAACAAATACTTGTATTTACTTTGACTTAAACTATGTTTTATTGTCCAGTTCGTGTCAAATTGAGTCACTGCAAATTCTCCTAAAAATGTTCCAAATAATTTCTGGTGGATTTGAGAGGAAGATCTCACTGCAAAGCAGGAAGTTATAAAAAATGAATTGGCTAAAACTTATCAACAAGTTTTGCTCCTTGTATTCATAGTAGTCACATATTTCAGAAAAATGTAATAAAAAAAAAAACCTTCTAAAACTAACTTTTTCTGTTTTGGGCATAAAAGTCAATAAAATTAAATTTCATGTTGGTTTTGGTCAAAGTTTCAAAGAGTTGCAGATGAGGGACAAAAGAGTTGCAGACGAGGGACAAAAGGGCCACAGGTTGCAGACCCCCGATTCTGTCCATTCAAGTTTATTTGATCAAGGCCGGCACCATAAACGATGTAACATGATTAAAAACAATCAACCGTTGTTTTGTACAAAGGTTTGCTAGCCACAGGCTAATTTGTAAACCCAGTCCTTGGTTGGACTTTTTATCATTCATGTCTGTTCATATAAAATATAACAATTCTCCAGACTGGACTGTGGACATTTAGGAAAGTTAGAACTCATTTAGATAAAATGCTGATTACAAACACTTTTTTTTTTTTTATTGTCCAGTCTCAACAAGACTCACTTTGACCCAGGTCTACAGTCTGCGGTTTTCCATATAACTGAGTACCGCCCCGATGTGTGCAGGATCATGGCTGCCTGAAACTGCAACATTGTTTTCTATGCGAGCCAAACAACACAACAGAAAAATAAGTGAAAGAAAGTCACAAATCAACAAAAAAGGTTAAATCGTGTCATCTGGACCAGTTTATTTGTGAGAGTCTACTTCTGAGATTCCAACAGGACGTTGGCTTGAAACAGCTGTGAAGGATACCTATGGGACATATGTGGCTGGCAGGCCGTAGACTGAAGAAGTCCTCTGGATGGAAGACAAAATGTTTCTCACTTAAAGAAGCTGGTCCAGATGACACGATTTAAACTTTTTGGTTGTTTTCTACCTGATGATTGAGCTTACAACATTTTTTTTCTAAAGTCACAAAACACTCACCATCCTCTGCCAGTTTTACAAAATGCCGTGTCCAAGTCTTGGCTGCGTTCCTTTTGCTGGTTAGAGCTTTAAATCGAGTCCGTCTGGTCAAACTCCCTCTGAACTCTCAGGTACCGAGCACAGACACGTCTGCAGCTCCTCAGCACCTCGGTGTTGGTTTACATGTGGCCAGTTTACTAGAATTTTTCAAGTAAACAAGAAAAATGAGTTCTGTGTTTGAGGTTGATTCTTGTGATTGATGCTCTCTTGATCAGCTTTGCTCTCTGGCTAATCCTCGGCCTGCTGACGGCCAATCTTCAGCTCAGCTCACCTGATACCTCGGTCAAACAAGTCCTAAGAACCGAGCTGAAGCTGGTGGGATCACCCAGTGGAAAGCTGTGCCAGTCTGAGTCGGGCCGAGCAGAGCCCGTGGACAAAACGATCCCAGACTCGATGGATCAACTAAATAGTTTAAATTGTGCAGTAGCTCAGCTTGTTGAACCAAACACGGCTTTTCATCAAGTTTTCAAACCGTTAAATTCCTGTTTATTATTGAGCAAAGGACACATTTTATATTTTTTATAACCATGTCAGAAGGCGTCAGTTTTCATTCCCGTCCTTCGTTGCTTCTTTCTTCTGACGCCTGCAGCTCCCTTCCAGCACGACTCCTCCCATAGACATCGCTCCATCGAGGCTGAAGCTGATGCGGCGTGGTCCAGATCGTAAGAGCGAGTTTCTGCGAGCTCTGAAGGACGAGGGCACTGGAGAGATGACGACGAGCAGCAGCCCAGGAACGTCAGGAGAGGTGGGCAGCCACGTGGCTTGTTTCACTGATCTACATGGAGCTGCACAGCGCACTGAAGTATTTGTGGAGGAATTAATTTCAACATCCTGACTATTTTTTTTTTCTCAGGGTGAGGGCAGCACCCCAGAGCCCAAAGCCTACAGTGAGGAGGTGTGCCACGAGAATGGTCTGTCCTACTCCCCCAGTGATTCAGACATCGAGCACCTGTCCAGCTCTCTAGAAGCAGAGCACAGGTGAGATGCAGCTAAAACTGTCTTACATGTATCTCATGCACGTGCACCTTCAACTAAGCTAAAACTCATTTAGGTTGCTGAAGGCCATGGGCTGGCAGGAGTACCCAGAAAATGACGACAACTTCCTGCCTCTGACAGAAGACGAGCTGAGAGAGTTCCAGACGAAAACTGAACAGGTGAGATGTCACAGAAAGCCCTGAAACGTTTCACAGGATGTTTAACGTCTCCTCACTCTGGATGACTGCTCTGATATGACATAAAAACACAGCCAGATGTTCTTTATGTGTTACATGTGATGGAACATGGAGGCTTTGGTGTGTGGTGGGCTTGGGCCCTGTGTTTACCAGTGTGGCTTGGCTACAAACAACGCCTCATGCTGGACGCACTCTTAAATTCATGAACATTTTTGGTTAAGTGGCTGCAACACATGTAGTTCTGCTGCTACCACCAGTAGGATGGTGCCACTCTCACCATGTGGCTGCAGCATCCAATCCACATCCTCCATGTTAAAATAAACACTAAAGCTTCTCACCATGGTCAGACCTGCTGGACTAGGAAGGACAGAGGGTGGATGTGGTTGAGGTTCACACAGATGGCCTTGTCACCTCAGTCCTGGTGTTCCTCATCAACAGCAAAGCTATAACTGATTGTGGTGACACAGAAACTTCCCTTATGTGCAGGAAAGTTCTGCAGATTGTGATGAGGTCCAGCCCAGTGTTGATCATCGACAAATATTTGTGACTGGACACAGAACAGAATGCAAAAGTTGAAGCTGAGGGAGCCTCAGCGATGAGGAACATGAACAAACTGGTGAATACTAGGATCATGACAACATCAGGATTGGCTTCACGGTGAAGGAGGATTTCCAAACGTGCTGTGACGCAACCCCAGCTTGGAATGAGAACTTCATCCAGCATGAAGTGGGTGTTAGAGTGGGTGCAGCATCACTTGGTTCTTGAGTAGGGGTGGCCAGTACGTTGATCACAACCTACTGGTCAATCTCAAAAGTGTTATGGGTAGATCACATAGCATTAAAAAATAGATATTAGCCTTTCATCCATGCATGAAATTTGTCTCTTGATTGACAGACAGAGCAGCCAGTCTGAGGCCTGTTTACACAACGTGAAACATTCAGCCATTCATTTACAGACAACAACCTCATTCTCTCTGAAACTGAAGGTTTCTGAATCCAGGTCTCAAGAGTGGAGATTTTATTTTCAGGGGAACCCCCCACAGAGGTGTGAAATGCTTCATAAGTGTGAAGTCACACATGTGCACTACAGGCGGCTGCAGTCCAGTTTTTCTGCTCTAACAACAGTTATAATAAATGTAACAACAGTTATAATAAATGTAACAACAGCTATAATAAATGTAACAACAGCTATAATAAATGTAACAACAG